TATACAACAATACAAAATATTTTTCATCGCTAAGCTACAAAAGGATTTTTTTTTTATGTGTTTCAAGTAAATGCATATAGAATTTAGTAATATTATCCAGTGCTTTTGATCTCAAATAGCAGCTTACATCAAACAAAACGCATTTTATATTCTCTGAAACGAGCGCTATAGTATTTAGATATCATTATTAGAGGAGGAAACGTTTTTTTTCTCTCTCCATGAATTATGAAATTATTTTCAACATTGTCTTCCGTTCGCGAAGTTATTAGATATATTCTTATTTTCATTTTTTTAGGGAAGGATGTTTTAATCAGTCGTTATTCCTAAGAAATATTTCACATTGTTTACATATAGTTATTTAGATTTCTCTTTCTCTTTGTTTTCGTGTCACATTCTATTTCGACTCTTGTTTCTACATCTCCCTTTCTCCCTCTCTTTCTCTTCCTATCTCTGTACCTCTATCCGTTTGTCTGTCTGTCTGTCTATATATATATGTGTGTGTGTGTGTGTGCGTGCGTATAAATGCAAATATATATATGTATGTATACATATACATATATATATATATATATATATATATATATATATATATATATATATATATATATATATATATATATATGTGTGTGTGTGTGGGGGGGGGGGGGTGAGTATGTATGTATATATATATATATATATATATATATATATATATATATATATATATATATATATATATATGTATATATATATATATATATATATATATATATATATATATATATATATATATATATATATAATGTAATTATGTATTGAATATATATATATATATATATATATATATATATATATATATATATATATATATATATATATATATATATATATATATATATATATACAATACATAATTGCATTATATATATATATATATATATATATATATATATATATATATATATATATATATATATATATATATATAATGCAATTATGTATTGTATATATATATATATATATATATATATATATATATATATATATATATATATATATATATATATATATGTATATAATGCAATTATGTATTGTATATATACATACACACACACACACACACACACACACATATATATATATGCGTGTGTGTGTGTGTGTGTGTATGTGTGTGTGTGTACGTATACATATGTATTTCTTCCCTATCTGTATCTCTCCTTCTCTTTCTCTTTCTTCCTCCATATATCTATTGTCATCAATTTCTCCCTTCTCCTTCCCCACTACCTGTACCTCCCATCCGCTCTCTGTGTCTTTATCTTTTCTCACTCTCTCTCACTCATTCATTCCCTCTCTCTCTCTCTTTCTCACTCATTCTCTCTCTCTCTCTCCCTCCCTCTCTCTCTCTCTCTCTCTCTCTCTCTCTCTCTCTCTCTCTCTCTCTCTCTCTCTCTTTCTCACTCATTCTCTCTCTCTTTCTCACTCATTCTCTCTCTCTCTCTTCTCTCTCTCTCTCTCTCTCTCTCTCTCTCTCTCTCTCTCTCTCTCTCTCTCTCTCTCTCTCTCTCTCTCTCTCTCTCTCTCTCTTTCTCACTCATTCTCTCTCTCTTTCTCACTCATTCTCTCTCTCTCTCTTCTCTCTCTCTCTCTCTCTCTCTCTCTCTCTCTCTCTCTCTCTCTCTCTCTCTCTCTCTCTCTCTCTCCGCCCTTATCTCATCCCCTCTCTCTTTGTATCTTATATTCTCTTTCTCTCTCTTTCTCCAAAGGACCTTCATCTCCCGGCTTAGTCATGGACGGTGTCTACTTGACGGATGTACGTGTCTTGCTTCCTGTCGTGGCATCGTCGTTAGCTCTCTTGGCCACCGTCATCACCGTCTGCGTCTGCGTCAGGAGGAGTGAGTTTTATCTGTCTACTTTTTATTATTATTACTATTTATTATTTATATATTTTTTTGAGATTCGACATTAAGAACAGAATTAGTATATGAATATAAATATGCATTAGTAATGTGTATAAAATAGAGATAGAGAGAGAGAGAGAGAGAGAGAGAGAGAGAGAGAGAGAGAGAGAGAGAGAGAGAGAGAGAGAGAGAGAGAGAGAGAGAGAGAGAGAGAGTGAGAGAGAGAGAGAGAGACAGAGACACAGAGAGAGAGGGGGGGGGGGGGAGGGAGAGGGAGAGAGAGAGAGAGAGAGAGACAGAGAGACAGAGAGAGAGAGAGAGAAAGAGAAAGGGAAAGAGAGAGAGACAGAGACAGACAGACAGACAGACAGACCGAGATCAAAAGCGAAAGAAAGAGAAAAATCGGATGAAACAAACAAACAAACCAAGTGAAATCTTGTATATCCCCCCCCCCCCCTGCAGGACCGCCCCCGCCATCACCCCAGAGCGGAGGCGACACCTGCAGCGTGACGGCGCAGGAGAACAAGGAGAACCTGAAGCAGCGGGAACAGTACTACGCCACCGTCAGGAAGACCTCCCCGCACAGGGACCCGGCGGCGCACGAGAGAGTCCCCGGTGGGTAA